AAAGGCTCCCCATTACAGGAGGGCTTTTCCTGGTATTTAATGGTGTATACCTATGAGCCTCAGTATACTCTACCAGGGCCCGAGTCACCCATTAGCGCCCATTACGACTGTTCTGGGAGTCAATCTTCTATTGCCAAACACAAAACACCATGGGACGTTTGGCTCATGGATAAGCAGGCTGTTACAGCAGTCTCTCCATTGAACCAGAAGCATCAAAAAACATTATTTCAGATGAAGATTTTAAATTTTTATGTTCATGCTTCATGAAAGGGGTACAAATTGACACCCCTATTTCATTTGAGTCTTGTTCAAAGTACAATTTTGCTGCCTCAGTTTTACATTGTGAATTATATTTCTCAATAAAATTCTCCAGAGATTTCTCATATGAATGCTTTCTGGTTCACCATGTAGTACCTTTTTAAATTCTACATAGTATTTGTTGAAAGCCTATCACAAAGAGGGCTTTCTACAAATTCACTGCAGCAATTCAAAACAGAAATGCTTGTTGTTTATCACAAACTTCTCCAGTATTTAGAAAAATTGTATAATTTTGAAAATTAGGTATTCCAAAACTTGAATTGTCTCAATCTTATTGACCGTGGAGCATCACGAACTTTAGAAGTCACATATCTTTGCATGTTATCACCATGGTGAAATGAAATCCCTCTTGAAGGTTTGTTCTCCCACACATTGAAAGAAGTGAGGGAGAAGGGAGGGAAAGACGGGAGGTCATCTCTTGCAAAATGAAAAGATTTTTTCTTTGAGAAATCTACTGAATGATGTTTGGACAGGCAAACCAACAGGAGGAGGTTGAGTCAATTCGAAGCCAGCTGTGCATTTTCTTAATATTCCATATAAGTGTTCAGAAGTTAAATAATTATTAAAAAAACAAAATTAAGTAAAAGTTGATCAAACAACTCAGAAATATTGTTGGAAATAGTTAATCAATAAAGTTAAATAATAAAATGGTTTCAAATCAAAGAATGTTATCAAATGATAATTGCAGTAAGGCAAACGACTGTGATGTTAGCCTATTTAATTATAAATTATTGGGAACTATGCCGAAATTTTCTTGCGTTGAAGCATATTAGTACATGTACAAGTAATAATTATTCAAAAATGTATCATTATTATTCAAAGATCACCTTCTCCCCCTCTTTCACTATTTACCTGAAAATATTTCTGGCTACCTTACTCATGAAGGTTGCAATTCAAGAACTGAAACAATTGTGCAACTTTAAGATTACTTATTTTAGTAAACTGTCCAGCAGCTCAATACATAAAATTTTTGTCGCACATTTATGAGCAATTATTGTAGCCTAACTTAACAAAATAGCATAGGCCTATATCATCATCCAAATCTTATTATCTTTTTATAAACGTTCATAAGTCATTAGGTTAGTTTTCTGCCTGTTAATGTACAATGAATTTGTTATTACAACTCATTACCCAATCAAATTACAATTCATTGTTCTTAAGCATGAACCTGATTGGATTGCATTTACATAATCTTGTTTTAGACATGTTTTATTTCCACAGCTGCTGTACTTTCACAATCATTTCTATTATTTTTATAGTACCAAAGTTCATTGTAAGAGTAGGAAGCACTAGTTTTAAGTGTGGTAAGTTAATATTGATTATAATGTTATCTAAGTTGCATTACTTCGTAACAATGATTCACTTAATATTGATTTTGAGGAAAAAGAAAGTATGTCAATGTTTGGTAACTGTAGTAACACGTTGAATGAGAAAATTCATCTGATAACCACACCGTTCTTCTCTTTTGATATCTGTATTTACAAAACGGGTTGCAAATTATCTCTCATTTATTTCACATCTCGCAATTGAAAATTCAGCTCCGAACTCTTATTCATTAACCAGTCTTGATAAACCTCACAAATATTCTCACAAGCACCGTACGCTTGTTTTCGTTTATCACTAGACGCCCCTAGACTTGTGTACTATTGCCACTTGTGTTTTCCGGTCTTTTCGGAGCTAGCATCAACTGTCTCCGACTGTTGAGAGTTCAGAACAGTTCAGAGAGCTTGTGTCCGCATGTGTTTCGCGTGCTACCATCATTGGCCAATCACAGAGCTCTAAATTAAGTGCTATACATTAGTCTAGTGGAACGTCAAAACACGCGGTCCGGCCAGCTTTCTGCCCCGCCGCCCCAACAATAGAGCACGGGTGGATTTTGATTGCCTCTTAAGACCCATTCACAATGCAAACATAAACATAAGCATGGCGTTTACATAAAAGGTAGGACTACGTCCAGAAGCGGACGGCTCATTCACAATGCGTTCGCATAAGCATAACACGTTAGACAACTTAAGAGCTTTCAAACTTCGAGCTTCTGTGCTTATGCTTA